CCAAAGAACCTATATCCCGAAAATGAAAGTTATATATGCCAACAATAAGTTGCTAGAGCACTTTAAAGGCTCAAAATTGACCCCAAAATAAGGCAATGTTTACCGTTGTTTTTACGACAGAAACCGAATTGGTTATTTACAAAAATGAATCTGTCGACAGGTTTGGAATTTTATGTTTGAAACGCCACACTTTTCTTTGAAATCGCTTTATTAGTTCTCGTGCAATAAGCGTTTTTGTGAAGCCCTAAAAATTACAACTACAACATTTGAACATAGCCCCCATACCTTAAGGTAAGACGTATTCTACGTCAAAAAAGAATATTATAGTGAAGCGCAGACATTAAAGATCTGAAGAGGCTTAAAAACATTTCGACATTTTGGTTACACTGTTGTGAAAATCTCAAGTTTTGAAATAACACAAAAATAACGTCAAAACTCGTTAACTTAATTTTGAGTCGTAGATTACAAATCTGTTTCTGTTTTTCTAGGCTAAGGGCTACCTGCAGTTCGCAAGGAAATTCATAAAAAATATTTTTCATGTTGCTGTTTTTCTAGCAGCTATTTTTCTGTTGCTTGAAAAAGTGCTTTGCTTTTGCTGTAAATTTTCTGGAAATAAATATTCTAGCATTTTTTCTAGACAAGAGAAAATTTCCTTTTAGCACAGTAAAGTTAGTTAAATTTGGTTGGAAAATTTAAACAAATTAGTAACAGCGATTTTTTGATGCAGTTTACTTATATTTGACACGTAGATCATGGATCTACAGTCTTGCCCCTAAATTTCTTTTGGCAATATTCCGCCATCTTAGATTTAAGTTTTTTTGGGCTTTTTCCAATTTTGCAAGCTTATTTTACATTTTTTTTTTGTACGACGTTAGATCACCGGGAACGCGATACACATAGCGATGCACGGGATACGCCGTATAACTTCAACGGATCGTCAAAATATTCGAAATGGAATCGGTAAACCGACAAAAATCCGCATTTCATCCAGTAAGTTCCTTTTTCGGATCCATTTTCGGGTTTTTGTATATGGAGCCCTAACCACCAAAAAAACGTAAGCGTCGTTTTAATTCTTTTGGCGGTTAGGTCTCGATAAGTAATGAAATAAATTAAAAAAAATATAATTGGGAGCGGGAGGGAAGCTAAGGGCGGAGCTCGGAGCGAAATAAAATACCGGAGCGGAGCTGGAGCGGAGCGATGAAAAATAATTATTTGCTCCGAAGCCCTGAATGCAAGTAACCTGAAGAGAAACAGAGTTTTCCGATCGAAAAATATTGATTTTCAAGAATTCTGTACCATTGCCACGAAAAATGGTTTTTCCCCATATAAAATACACTGAAAACTATGAGTGCTTTTAGCCACCTCTAAATATTTGTTTGATTTCGAAATAAAAACAGGGGTATATGTTTTCAATATAGAACAATTCTAGGGGCTGAGAGGATTAAAATTTAGACTTTACTTTTTCACAAGCATATTTGGACCATCCTAATGTACATACTATTAAGAAATTATGTGTATATCTGATATCAACATATTGAATATCTTTAAATGACGATTTTATATGTAGTAGATTGTGGAAATTTAGAGTATTTAAAAAAATGCTTTGAATTTATCTATTTTATTGAAATTTATGTAAATGAAAGAATCATAGTACATATTTGTATGCATTTTATCTGTATCGCCACAAAATGTGTACCCTCCTATCTCCTACCACAACGGCTCTTTTTTACCCTATTTTTGAAGAAGTGGCAATTAAAGAGTTAAAAACTTCTAATAAAATGTTTTATCTAACAGCGCAGAAACTAAACAAAGGAAACAAAGCTCTGCAAGTTCTGTAGGAAATACCAAAACTTTATGCATTATAAAAACATATTAGGGGTATTCTCTGAGTCTTGCAAAGCCCTTGCATGGTGCACGGATTGCACGGTTTGCAAAGCTGTCCCATACGAAAACCGGTTTTTACCGTGCAATCCGTGCAATCTGTGCACCATGCAAGGGCTTTGCAAGACTCAGAGAATACCCCTATTGTTCAATGTAAATACTTGCACGCAAACGTACACCCCAATTCACTTGAATAACCACCAGTTTTTCTGCAAGATGCATACTCTTATACAGGACTTTTGATACTCCTTTTTTAAGCGGATTTTAATGAAATTTCTTTTAGTTACGATCGTACTACGAAAAGCGATGCATGAATACAAATGCACAGATCCGTAACTAACAGTTTTTTTTTTGCGTCAAACAATGTGGGGACTTTTAATGCATGATAAAATACATCACAATCAATGAAAAAGTGAATTTTGAGTTTTTTGTTAGTTACGGCCTTTTGTATTTCAGGTACGAGTGTTATCTTTCTACAAAAAATCCTAATGGAAATAGTGCTTTATCAATTAAGAGGAAATTGTTGTTGTCACAATATAGGGAATGATCTTTATTTATGGTCTTTTATTTATACCTAGCTGTATAAATTTTATTAATAAGTAAATGTTTTTTAGGGATCCATTAAGATTGGAGTTAATTTAGGCGGAGCCCGCAAAGCATAGCATTGGTTTAAAAGTAACCCTCGGTGCGAACTCGGTTGGACACCACTGGCCCAAGCCATTAAAAATTTTATTTAGCTATAGAAGACAGCTGTTATTGTTTTTATGATACCAACAACCGGTTTCACCAGCAATTTAAATGGCAAATGATTTTTTATTTTCTGTCAATTTTCATAGGAAATTCAAAAAAATAAAATAATTTTTCACTAATTTTTTTGCTTTCGTGAAATTGACTGTAAAGCATTGTTTAAACAAAAATCAAAAATAGACTTTTCCAATATTTTAGAGTTACCTCTTATGGAGGTAGTACGCAATATTAGTAGTAGTATCCAATACGAGTAGTATTAAAAGTGAATAATACTTGAGGGTTCAATCTGATCCTTTCCTTATGTTAACTGCGCCTTTTCTAGTGAATATAAGAAAAATTATGTTTTATCTTGCAAAATTGATCATTCCTCAAATTGAGACCAAATCGAAGCTTCTCAATGCCTAAAAGTAAAGATATGTATAAGCCCGGTCCTTGAAGAAAAGTAATATACATATGTACCTATTGAAGTGAAGCGAAGTGTATGTTCATATGTACATACATACGCGTGCGAGTGCATGGCCATTTACAAATGGATACATATGTATAAATACATATGTACACACAGCAAACATATGCATTAACTTCATTGTTATTTTACAATAATGGTTATGCAATAGTCGCGCGATCGTTCGCTGCATTACATAATTCAAATTTTACCTCGCACTTCTATCCCCGCCAAAGCGTTGACTCGTTCGCGCATAAATGTGTCAAGTAATTGACGTATCGACAGCGATAGTAAAAAAATGCATCGCGACGGCTATTAAAATTTTGGCTTGGCATGCAACAGGTTTGCCAACGCGTTCAACAAGTGCATATATGTACATACATATGCACATGATTTTGGATATAGTAAAGATATGCACCAATGTATGTACATATGTATGCATGTTTGTACTTATTTGTATCTAATTGGTCTTTGTTGCATTTATTGCCTAGAGTTATTCGTCCATAATTTCGCTTTCACTCGGCCGTATCGTGCTCTGTGGCTCTTATTGTTGTTGTAGTTCAACTAAAGTAACTCAAGCAAATAAATTACCAAAAAAAAAAATAGAGCACAATGTTGTGAAAGATGTCTGCATTTTGAGGAAATGATGTAATAAATCTAAATCGGGCTATTGCAAAAATGTGTATAAAATTAGAAGAAAAAATGTAAAAAAAAAATAAAAACCGTGGATTACATATTTCGGTTTCCTTTACACAAACAAGATAAAAATCAATAAGGAAAATGAAAAATTCGGCCTTATCATGAGTTTCATTTTCCCCGAACCGGTTCACTTTTCACTTTTGGTTTTCATGGTTTTATTATGGGCGGATGACAAATTTTCGGGTGAATTGTTTTTCAGGCGAAACTCAGGATAAGGCAGATTATCATTATTCATAGCGGAAAGTTATTAAAGTTGACTTCAGACTAATGTCGAAATATCGATAACTTAAAATTAATAAAACCAAATAAAATTGTGTTTTATTAAAATCCGGCCTTGAACTCTTGTCAAATTAGAAATAAAAAAAAAAATCCAAAACATCAATGTATGTAGTTAAAACGTGTTTTTTTTTAATAAACGCGCTCCAAGAAAATTATGATTTATGCCGAGTTTCCACTAGGCATGGAAATGACATGTCAAAACAAACTGAGTGACTATTTTTGTGAAAACAAAATTTTAAAGGCAATGTTGGACATCAAAAAAATGCGCGCCATTACTTTCATAAAAACAGTCATTAAGTTTAAATTTTTTATCATTTCAATGCCTAGCGGTAATTTTTACACAATTTCTCATTTGTTTATATTTTTACTTACCTCCACTGTGCGTCCATTAAAATAAAAACATGCTTAAGCATTTGAGTGTTTCTTTAACTTATTATTTAAATAAAATAACATTAAACCTAGGGCAGTTTTCAAGTTGTATAAAAAAATATATATATAACACATTTGGCTTATAATACAATGGAAAAAAAAACGAAACAGCCACAATTGTTGGTAACGCACTTCGCGTCCATCCAACAGTCTTGGCTGCCCCATTAAACCCCCCTTCCATTAGACTACTTCTTCCTCTCCTCCTCTCCTCCTCGACTTTCGTCCTTCGTCCTCTCCTCTCCTCGTCCAACTGGCCATCGGTCCTCCTTGTTCTCGTTATTGTGCTAATTTCTAACTCATTAATATCCTCTTTAAAGTTGTTGTTGTTGTTTTGGTGTTACTCCCGTTCAGCTCAACATGAATGCGTGCGGACTTTCTTGTTTACCTTCGGATGGAATCTATCGGAGTGGTTATGTTATTTGTTTTAGTTGATTTTTTTTTTTTATATTCCTTCCTACTACTACTTCATCCTTTCCGTCCTTTGTTCCTACTTGTATTCGCGATCTGTGGTGGCAATCCTCGAATTTCATCAGCTTTGATTTCGTTTCAATTTATTCCTATTTTTTTCTGTGGTCTTTAACTAGTTTGCCTTGGTTTCAACTGTGTTCTGTGTTCACCCATTTTGCTCGTACTATGTCATTTTACATCTACTCAGCCTTCTCCGTCTTAAAATTGTCATCTTTGCTATATAAAGAAATATATCCATTACATTTTAGTCATGGTGATAGTCATGATGATGGTAGTCATGGTGTTCTTCTTTGTGGTGGAAAATTGGCACTTCAACATGGTATTTTTCTGGTACGGGAATTTCCTTGTGCACTGGCACCTTCACTTCCGAGTAAACGGGATATGGTTTCTCAATGGGCACTTTCACTTCGTATGGTACTGGCTTCTCAACCGTGTATGGTACCTTCTTTTCCACAGTGTAAGGCTGTGGCACGGGTACCTTCACATGCACTGGATAAGGTTTCTCAACTTCGACTTTGTAGGGTTTGTCGACTGGATATTTCACTTCGTAAGGTACCTTCTTTTCCACAACGACTGGGTATGGTTTTTCAACTTCGACTGGATATGGTTTCTCCACTTCGACGGGATATGGTTTCTCCACGGGCACCTTGACTTCATACGGCACCTTTTTGATTACCTCATAAGGCTTTGGCACGGGCACTTCCACTTTCACTTCATAAGGAATTTTCTTGATGACTTCGTAGGGTTGTGGCACGGGTACTTTCACCTCATAGGGTATCTTCTTGATGACTTCGTAGGGTTGTGGCACATGTACTTTCACTTCATAAGGCTTGTCAACTGGTACCTTCACCTCATAGGGTACCTTCTTTTCAACAATATATGGTTTTGGCACATGTACGGGCACTTTAACGTATTCCTTCACATGTACGGGTACCTTCTTTTCCACGATGTATGGCTCGGGCACAGGCACCTTCACCTCGTAGGGTACTTTCTTTTCCACAGTATATGGTATGTGTTTGGTAACGGTGTAAGGTACAGGAACTTTCTTCTCAATCGTAATAGTCTTAATGTGTTCATGATGATGATGATGTCCATAATCGCCTAGATGAAGACCACGCTTCTCGACGGTTTTACTATCATCCTTCGCTTCGGTTGCTTCGTTCTCGCTTGCCGCTGCAGCATTATCCGCTGCAGATGATTCTGCTTTCTCGGACGCTGGCGCACAATGGGCAATTGCCACGCACAAGGCGAGACAAGGGAGTACAAACTGTAAATAGAAAAATAAAATTTATTGTTTAAATTAAATTGGCATATCCATATTGGCTGGCAACAATCTGTAGTATGCAGTAATGGTTGATGACATCCACAATTATTGACGAGTTAATAATTACCAAACGCATTGTTGAGCTGTCGGTTTGAACGGTCCAATAGAGGAAAATTAACACTGAGAGTTTGTTTAGCCAATAACGAGATCCAAGTTGGGACTGACTTGTTCAGCTATGGACGCTCACTTTATATACGCGTGAAAAACTAGCGCGCGCTCAGACGCTATTGTACCAATAGTTGCGCTTATTGTACGCTGCTTGCGCCAATGCAGTAGGTACATACACATGTAAATATGACAAACATACAAATATATTCACTTTGGTAAGACCAAAATTGTGCACCGATTATAAGCGCAACATCCAACAACAAAAGCAACAACAACGTTTAACTTGCGCCGCGCTTGGAAGCGATAGCTGTTCAGCTTAGCATAAAAGCAACACCAGCAGTTGTGGCTGTAGTCAACATATCAGTGGCAACAATAACCACGAAAAAACAGTTGCTGTAATGAGTAATTAGCATTAGTTTCGCCACAGTTAAAATACCCGACACCGCTAGCCTGCTAGCGTTAATCCAAAAAAAAAAAAAACAAATGTTCATAGTTGTGAACTTAAAAGTGTTGCATAAATGTTTTTGAAGCCCAGCTTCTTACCATCCCTCAGATTTGTTTGACCTCAAAGCGAATAAAGCTGGGGTTAGACTCCAGTTCTCCAGTTTTCAGGAGTTGGGGTAATCTGCTTTCAGAAGACGGTGGACATTTGTTTTGGGAAAGAACGAGCAGAGCTAATGTACCACATTGCGAATGGCGATAATTTAGGCTTTTGTCAGCCCCGAGAAGGTAGTAGAAAAAAGAATGACAACAAATGTTTAAGTCGGCGCAATTGGCACTCTGGATATCGGACTTCTGTTTGTACTGAGAAACCTTTTGACTTTGAATTTGTTTAAAAATTTGGTCACACCCAAACTATACTTATAGCTAGGGGATCCACAAGATGTCGTAAGCGTCATAAAGTCTTAAAATCGTAAAATTTGTCTATGTAAAATAACGGTTAAAAGGGGTTTTAAGGGGATTCGCAGAGTATAATAAGAGCTACTATTTTCCATCGGCTAAAAAACATTTTGGTGTAGCTACATGTAGGTTTTAGCCGCCCTTTTATATTGAAAACTTGAGCACCTTTTCACAGCTTCCCATTGGCTTTATATGGACATAGTAGATTAGAAAATTTAATTAGAAAAAGCGATCTTTGGCGCCACTGTCGGAAAAGTTAGCATTCCCGATGAAACGTCCGATAACGGACTGAGGCTTATCGACTTCGCCGGGGCCCGAAACATGGTACTACTAGGTTCAAGCCTAAAAAGGTCCATAAATCTAAGTTGATCCGGATAGAAAAACGAGAAACAAAATTGATCATTTTGTGATAGACGGAAGCATGTTTCCAGTGTTTTAGACGTACGTACACTCCGAGGGACAAACATCGACCCGGATCACTATCTTGTGGCAGCCAAGATTCGCGCCCGCCTCTGTGCAGCAAAAAATGTGCGCCCAACAATGCAAGGAAAGCTTAACGCCGTAAAACTGCAATCACAACAGACGGCCAATTTATTCGTCACTCGACTCTCACACTTGCTTTCTGAGAGCACTCACTTCAACAAACCGACATGCGGAAGCAGTGGAACCACATTTCCCGCTCATTTAGTACCGCCGAAGAAGAAATAGTCGGATTTCAGCGAGCCCGAAAGAACAACTGGTTCGATGAGGAATGTCAAGAAGCTGCAGAGAAATATGATGGCATCTACAGGGCCATGCTGCGATCGGGCGCAACGCGAGCCATGTGAGACCGTTATAGGGAACTGAAGAAGGAAGCGAGACGTACTTGCCGCAAGATTAGAGAGGCGGAAATATGTGAGCGCGAAGAGCTTGAAATGCTGGCCGACAGGAAAAATGCCCGAAAATAGATAATATGCCTTCATAAACTCTTATGCAGAATATGGGCCGATAAACGCTTGCCCGGCGACCTGAATTTATGTGTGCTCTGCCCAATCCACAAGAAAGGCAATCCCGCCATTCGCGCTAACTACTGCGGGCTCAGTCTTCTAAGCAGAGGTTACAACATCTTATCGAGTGTATTGCGTGAAAGACTGAAGACTGCCGTCAGCAAACTGATTGGATGTTATCAGTGTGGCTTTAGACCTGGCAAATCCACCATAGACCAGGTATTTAAAAAATTACGTTGAGCAATACCACCAGCTCCATTAGAATTGATAAGGACTTCTCCGAGCCGTTTGATACTAAACAAGGTTTCACACAAGGTGACTCCCTTTCATGTGATTGCTTTAATCTAATGTTGAGAAGATAATAAGAGCCGCAGAACTGAACCGCTAAGATACAATACTTTACAAGAGCGTGCAATTGCTGGCGTATGCCGACGACATCGACAATATCGGTAAAAACAAGGGGTACGTCTACTCTGTCTTATTAGATTAGATAGAAATGTAAAGCGAATGAGTCTAGTGGTGAACGAGGACAAAACAAAGTATCTCCTGTCATCACAAAAACGTCATTGTTGACAGTTACAAGTTTGAAAAAGTAGACTACTTCGTTTATTTGGGAACCAGCATTAACACCGATAATAATGTCAGCATGGAAATCCAACGCAGAATCACTCTTGCCAACAAGTGCTACTTTGGACTGAGTAGGCAATTCAGGAGTAAAGTCCTTTCTCGACGTACGAAAACCAAACTCTACAAAAAAGTAGCCAAAACTTGCTAAAATGTCTTTTCCCTATTTACATTCGCGGAAACTTCTAAAAGTGGGCGAAGCCAAGTAGGTGCAACTTTCGTCGAACCGTATAAGGACAGGGACGGACTTAGAGCCTCGTTCTCAAACCCCCTTCTGGCGAAATACTTAACGGTAGTACCGAGGAACAATAATGGCGACCTAGTAACTGATGTCCAGAGCGTACTTAAATTATGGAGGGAACACTTTTCCGCCCTACTAAATGGCAGCAGCACAGAAAGTTGTGGAGAAGAAGAACCCGAGCCCGCAGTCGATGATGACNGAGAGGATCGGTTTTGAATGGTGGAGGTTTAATTCGGGTTAGAGTCCCACATTGATTTGGTCCAGACTTTCGATGCTCCCTCCTCGCATATACAGAAATACCTCGGGCGGCATTGGACTCACACAATCAATTAGAATTCACCTACGGAAGGAAGTTGACACATAAAATCAACCCAAACATCGGAAGTTGGTGGCGGAAAGCTTGTCTTCAATAACTCAAAAGATACTGTACGCCCTAAAAAATTGCATGCGTACAAACATATGTATACGACCTGTTTTAAACATACAAATGTATTACCCGAAAATAGCCTACGCTCAAAAGCCTTGCAACAAAAGGAAAGCATTCATCGCTCGGTTGGTTACATCAACGACCTGTTTTCCGCACTCAAATGTGCATTCGTGTGTCGTCGCCTTGCCAAAAAGGAAATGGTACAATGGTGCACTGGAGAGGAAAATCGTCGGTGCGTTGCAAGCGCGCCAATCCGTAACTCATACAAATGAAATCGAATTGAAGTGCATATGTATGTATGTATGTATGTATATGGATGTAAATTAGCACAGCGTTCGCAGAGATCTTACGAAATCGCTAACACACAACATTGCACTTGTATACATTACAAACTCATGTATAATGGCGTGTACGTTGATGTTTTCAGTGCAATTAAACAGTTCAGTGATACAAAAACATATGTATATACGTATGTAGTATGTATGTAAAGATATATGTATGTATATATACAATACTATATAACCACTGCAGACATTGACATCGAACAATGGAGTGCATGCCAACTATAACGCACATTTATGTACATACTTACATATATGTATATTTATTTGAATTAGCTTCCGTTATTGTTGTTTGGATACATGATACCACATAAACACCAGCAACGACGTCCTCACCTTTACGACTTATGTATGTAAATGAACTTGAACAGCCCTCATTAACTGTACTGACAACCCGCAACCTCAAAACACCATTCCAACTGTATTGGTGTAGGTCTGGAGTTCGTTTTCAATTACGGAAGAAAGTGAAAAGCTAGTGGCTGGCGAAACCAGCGCAATGGTTGTTGATCTTCAGCAAATCATCTAATAGTTGTTATTGAAAACCGGATAGGCCTTAGGAGTGGATATGCTTATTGCCTTCCTGCACAATTTCATGTACATTTTATTTCTTGCTTTTCTGCATTTTTCATTTTTCGCCGTTATTTCGCAATATGAAAAATTTTCATACGTATGGACATTCCTGGTTATTTACATAAATATTTGTATGCCTTAGCCAGTGAATTAGCGTTTTTAAGCATATAAAGTAAAATAATTTACCAAAAACAATCTATACATAGAATATGCACAAGCAGACAAAAAAAAAGTTCGCCGTAGACCCCTGAGTCTAAAGTATTTTTGCAAGGCAATTCGAAAAAAAATGTTGCCGAACTTCGGGTAGCCCTTCTACAGTTTTCGGTGACACCTACACTTGGCAATCAAAAAATTTAAATAATTCTAGTGGATTAATCGTAATACTTCATTAAGAAAAGTTTAGTGACCTTTGATGAGCTTTAATTTATTGGCATTAGGGTGGTACGTTAGGGTAATAAGAACAGAGATCTGGTAGGTAAGTACTAGAACAGGGTACTTAAGGTCAATAAACTTCATTCATTCCTTAAGACAGGACTGCAAGTGCTGAATATTTACCGAAAAATGTAAAGGACACTTAAAACTTCCCCTTTACTATACTAAAATTTAATGGGCTACAAGACTGCATACTCAAAAAAGTTCTAAAAAAATTGTAATGTACTCATTTTACTCAGCTTCGGTGTAAAAAACAAACAATCATAACTCAAATTATTGTAGAGTGCACCCCATAATACTATACTTAAATATTGCGCAATACTCAGAGATGGTGTATTTTCAAAAACTATTTTTTTATCAAAAAATTTTAATGTGAAAAATTTTTCTTTTCATAGAAAATTTTTATGTGTGTATGTATGATTTTTACAAAGTTTTTCCTCGCCCCGTTCTCGAGATATTTAGAAAACTATTAAATCGATTTGTTTTGTTTTTGTGCTGTAAGGTTTTTAAAAATATATTAATCAAGCTCAAATTTCATATTTATTTATTATTTATGTTCATGCATCAACCCTAAAAATTTGAAACAAAACAAACACATGAAGTGTGAACCATGATAAAAATATAGTAAGGTAGAACCGCTGAGAGTCACTTTTGAAATTCTTGACGTTTCCAAACAATTTAATTTTTAAATTTACTCACAAACTCACACACACATTTTCATT